CCGCCAAAAAAAAAAAAAAAAAAATCCAACAGAAAAAGGGTCTTCTTTTATAGGGTAAAGGATGGGCAAGCAGAAATAAGCAGAATCTTTGGAAAGGAACCTGGACGAGCAAGGGAAAATGCTCAGTGTAGTCCAACAGGACAGCATCCCACTGTGGTCAGCCGATTCTCAAAAGAAACTGACCGGAGAGAGGCATATTCCACTTCTTCAGTGCCTGCCTGCTCAGATCTGGGGGTAAGCAAGAGTTGAGGGACCCGTAAGGCAAGAGAGAAGTCTAAATAAAGCTTGGTCAAAACAAAGCAGCAGGTAAGACACGAGCAACTGGAAACAGTCAGTTTTTACCAAATGAAAGCACATAGTGTCTTTGATAGCACTAGGTTGTGGGTTCAAGAGAACACACATCATTCTGGATAGTACAGAGTTCATGTATAAAACACCACTGAAACAGCCAACCACATTTTGAGACAGAAAATATGGAACTACTTCACTCCACTTGTTGCTAGTAAAATAAAAAAACATAATAATCCATCCCAGCAGGACAAAAGGGGAAAATAAAAAAGAGAAATGCAATTTCCCTCACCCATTCAAGCTATCTTTGGGTCCTGAACCACTAATGTTCCTCCTACCCCGGTTTCCAACCTAGGTAAACATGGCTCCACCTAACAAATGCAAAAGTTTACTAAATTTATAAATCTCAACCACCAAAGAACCACCTTCCTTTGAACACCTAGTGGAAATACGGCAGGAATGAAGTCTCACACCCACCGCAAAAAGTTGAGTAGACCACACGGATGGATGCTTGGACACGAATCAGTAAAATCAGCTTTAAACTCAACCTAAACACTTCTACCGGTAATGTGGCCAAATTGTTGCATGCTAGAGATTCAGTGGTCAATGGAACAACTTCAGTGTTCAGATTGTAGAGAGGAACCTGCTTTTAAAAAGCAAAACATGATCCTTACCATGTTCTGCAAGTGCAGTCAACACACACCTATCGGGCGCTACTGGGACGCTAAGGGAGGCGATGGGAATTCCGAGATTAACCAAACCAGTACCTTCTCTTTCAGGAAAAGCCTCAATTCAGGGAGGAAACAGAAAGTTAAAAGTCCCAGAACATCCTCTCATGTGGCAAGTGTTCAAGCAGCTGCGGTTAGCACAGAGGGGTCCCCTGAGCCTGGCGAGCCTGGATGACAGCAAGCCGCCCACCAAGGTCTGGGGAAAAATCTCCTTCTAACTAAAAAAAAGACCCGAGTCTCGCCTGTCCGGCGCCGGGCTGGCAAGTTACTGAATAAACCCACCAAAGTCAGATCGCAATCTACGACTGCCTCTCCCAGGTCCTCAATCCCGGGAGCCTGCTCCCATCCTATGGATCGCCTACCCCAGACGCCCCCATGTCTCCTTCCTCCGCCTCCGGGAGTCGGTCCCGTGCACCCCTGCCGCAGGTCCGCCCTCCTGGGAGCCCCCAGCTGCAGGGCTCGCTCCTCGGCCTGAGTCCTCTCGTGGGGCCCCCTCCCTCAGGGCGCCTGGCCCGGGCCCCGGGTCGCCGCCCCTCGTCCCTCAGCCCCTCCAGCGCCGCTACCTCGGATGTTCTTCATCAGCCCCGGCTCTTTGAAGCCACCGCGCCTGAGGAAGGAGCACACCTGCTCCGGGCCCCAAGTCTTGTGGTCGGGATGGAGTTCCGGGCCCAAGGACCGGTCTGCCTCTGCGGAAGGGGTGTTTGGGGGGGTTCTCGGGCTGTCATCGCAACGGGGCCTCTTGGAGGGCTGCTCAGAGTCGGCTTGCTGCATGTCTACACCCGGCGTCCGGCACAGAAAAGTCAAGAACCGCGGCGCCCAGCCCTCGCGCAGGCGCACTGACAGGAGGGATCTGGCGGGGAGTCCGGGGAGCATTGGCAACCTACTGGCCTCTCGCGCAGGCGCAATGACAGCAGGGCCCTAGCGAGGCGTCCAGGGACAATTGGCTACCTACTGGCCTCCCGCGCAGGCGCACTGACAGCTGAGCCCTTCGTGCAGGGCAGCCCCGCGGCGCTAGCCCCAGGCCCCCTGCGCAGGCGCAATGGCAGTCCAGTCGCCCTCAATCCCTCCAGGCCGCTGGACGTGAACGCGGAAGGGCGTGGCTAGAAGCCGAACTGAAGGCAACGCTGGTGGAGGGCGGGGAAACAGCGCGTCCAGCACCCCACCCCCAATTAGGGGCTCGTCTGGTGAATTGGGGGTATCCTCTTTCGAATGAGTACACTACCCCCCGCACCTTAGCTGGGTTTCAGATACCCCAAACTTCAAAGAAACCTAAAGGCCATCAGGCTGCCAGCACCTTCCCAGTGAAGAGAAAAACAGTCAAGGTGCTGAACTGGAAGACCCCGGAATGATTTCAGGTGTGACTTGAGGGTGTCTTCTTCATTCCACAGTATTGCTGGGCAACTAGAAGGCCCTGGGATACCTGCTGTCTGGTGTCCACACAGAAGGGGACTTCAGACTTCTTTCCAACTGGAGACAGATCCCTCCATCCCAACTGCATTCCCAGAAGAAGGGAAGTGGCCAGTCTGATTACTTAAAATTCAGCTTCCGAGGACTTTTACTGCCTGGTCCTGAGAGCAGGTGAAAATGGCAGGCATTTTCCCGTCACTTAGCCCCTCTGCGGCAGGGCTCAAACTTCCCTATTAATACTGGTCCATGCAATTGACTGGTAAAAGGACCTGTCACTATTACTGCTAATAAAGCCAACACACCTTCCCAGCAACCAAGCAATAGACCTGTTTAGGGGGGTAAAGGTCGAATGAGGCGGATTAGCTTATCATCAAGCAGTATGAACTAGTGATCTACTGGTGAGCCAAAATATTGTTAGCAAACAGAGCTTTACTGTGTGCCAGGCACGGTTCTAGGGCTTTACAAATACTAAATAATTTTATATTTATACATATTA